TTGTCCCAGCATATCAGGTCTGTCTCGCACACATTACAAATTATTGGAGCACCATTATTGAATAAATCCGGGAATTCTCCGATAAATTTATATTCGCTTTGTCAGCGGATGGCCGTTTTTTACCATTGTGCGCGTCTGATATACTTTATTTGTAAATTATTATCAACAATAAAATACAGCAAATTAAATTATCAACAATGCAACAACATACAGTAAAATGGAAAGGAATAAATTAAAAGACAAACACCACGACACGTAACAATGGAATAAAACAGATAAATATAAATAGGCAGCAAGTCTCACGGCTAGCTACGGATTTTTCCTCCGGTAAACACCCAGTATCACACCGTTGAACAGCCGCATGACTCGCTAGCATTACTTATTTGTAATATAAACTTGCAATAATTTGCAAAAAAGTAACTGACTCAATTTCAATTTTCAAACATGTAGTACAAAGTGCGGTTATAGTCATAAAGTGTTGTAGAAGCTACTCAAATAATAATATTTACTATTTTATGTTCCGGTTTTTATTAACTATTCTACTACAATATTGTAATATATATTTATGAACTTTTGTAGCAAATATATTTGCTATAAATCAATGAAAAATTAAGTTATTATTATGGCCATTACGTACAATACTATATTGCTTGTCATAAATGACAAGCTAGGAGTCATCAGACATGTACAATTAAGTAATGTCACCCCAAATATTTTACGAAAAAAATATTGGTATGTGGTATGTTTGAGATTTGATCCCATTTTACTTTCTTATACCTAAAATATAAGGAAGTAAGTATAGTAATCGTGATTTTTGTCGACCTCGCGATTTTGATGATTTATACGTTTTAAACCCTCCTGAATCCATTCTGACTATTTTCCGAATAATGTCTGTCGGTATGTGTGCGTGCGTGCGTGCGTGCGGGCGGGCATGTGCGCGTGCGTGTGTGTGTGTGTGTGTGTGTGTGTGTGTGTGTGTGTGTATGTATGTCATTGTCAACAACATTTCAGGAGACACGTTAAATTTGGTGAATGTAGTATCACCAGAAGAGACACAATGAATAAAAGAAGAAAAAAAGGTACAATTTCAGGAAAAAAAATTAAACATTTTTATTGCATTTCTGGACGAATCTCGACTAATTATAGTGAAAAAACATAACTTTATGGAAAGAATCTGTCTGCATGTCTGTAGCATCGCGATAGCAGCCACAGTTTTTGAGATCAAGCTTTCAAATTTGGCACATATGTTCAAAAGACCAAAGACAATGATAAATTCGATGATGAGCAAAATTAGCCAGCTGAACTGAAACTTTTTTATGTATTCTTGATAAAAGATTATAAATCATGTCTACTATATCAAGCCAATGAAACATATTTTCCAATTACTTGAATAAAGCTGATGTAAACTTAAATTTTTTATATATTTGACCTCATAAAATGGGGTTAGGATAAATTTAACAGTTTGACATTTGTACTGTCTAATTTAGTTACAAAAATGTCAATAAAAAGAAATTATTAAAATATACGACATGAATTATTATTGACAGTATCGAAGAATGACGCTGACAATTAATTATTTAAAAATTTTAATGAAATCTTTCAAGGTACGCTATTAAAATTTAATTGAGGTAAGTGAAGAATTAAATAGAATGATTTTTTTACATCAGGATGATATATACTGGTATAAGAAAGTTATATGCTGGCTACATCAGATATTTCATTTTACCAATATTCGTTGACGTTGTTGTGAATTAAAACCACATGGTGCTACAACGCGCCATCTCTTGATGCAATGACTGTAGTTCAGAATAAATCTGTCCACATCTCAACGTTGTTATTGTTTAACGAAATCAATCCTTTTATATCCACCACAGTTAAAGAAATGAAACATTTCTCCTCAATTTTTGCTGTTCTAAAAGTCATGAATATAGATTCCCTGTAATTTTACGCAATATTAAAACTTACCTCAAAATGAATCAATTAGTTTAAGCGACACCCAACTATTTAAGATTGAGATAACAAAATCGTCCATGGTTAGTTATGTTTATAAAAGTCACCACTTATAGTACTCACATTATAAATAAGTAACAAATTCAGAGGGTTGGGTGTTACGTTTTCTGAACTGGGCGGCATCTTGAAATGAAATAAGACGTAGGTATTCAACGACCTGATGGTAAACAAATCTGATGGTGACATTGTACATCTCTAAATTAAAGCTATTACTTTATTAAGATTATTGGAGCAGATTTTGTTACTTATTATTTCGCAGTGCCACACAATTTGTAACGGAATTTTTCGTTAACGTTTTTTATTAAAATCTTTATAATATGTAGGTACCTTGTGCAATGTTTATTTGAGTTCAACAAAGACCGCGTGGTAATTTTCTGTACATTTCTAACTTTGAGGTAAATGGTTACTTTTACTATCCTAAGAAAACAAAGAGTCAAACAATATGTGTTGTTTATAACTACAAAAATTTTACTGCAAATATGTGTAGTCCTTTCATATGTATTATGAGACAATAAATTACAAACTTCGATGAAAACTACAATTCTCATCAAACAATGTTGTCGTAAAATAATTAACGGGTTTTCTTTCCGTGCTTTGTCTCAAGACATAACCAACAAATATGCATGATATAGACTTACTATCTAATTTCTTGCGTTTATTGCTGACATCGATTTGTTTATCAGACAAACTTCTTTAGGTATTTTATTATTCAAATTTTTTCTCGATTTATTTATCAGATAAACTGCTGTTGCTGCAGCCCTTGCTAAAAATTCTTTAGATAAATTTGCACGAAATAACATAATATATCGAAGTTTGAGTAAAAATTGTTCGATTCATTCTTTTTTACAATTCAATGCTGTTCTGGTGTATATTAAGTAGCTGTTAATTGGTGTTGAATACCTGCTTTATTCAAACATGCCTTTAAATTTGCTGAACAATATTCACTCGCATTATCACTTTAAATTTTGATTTTTCTTCCTGTTTGGTTTTCAAAATAGTTCTTAAAATAATTAAAGCATAAATAAACAATTTGTCTGAATAATCGTCAATTAAGGTTAAAAAATATCGTGTTCCTCCTAACGAATAAACTTCTAACGGTCCACACACATCGGAGTATATCAAATCTAACATTAGATTGGCTCGTGAACTTGTGTGTTTAAATTGTAATCTTGACACAAACTTCATTCTTCCTAAACTTCATGTTACTATTCAGAGAACTAACTTTGATAATTTGTTCACATATTCACAGCTCAGATAACCCAGGCGACGCGACGGTACCATATTATTTACCAATTTTGCTGTAGCAATCAGGTTATTCTTGTTAATCTAAATTATACAACCAGATGAATCAAAACTACCGTATTATCATTCTTAACTGTTTGACTAACTGACAAAGAATTGTACCAAATCTGGCTCATGCAAAACATTTTTTACATTGACGGAGTCTTCATGTATTTTAATTCTTGCATCATCTGCATTTCTGACTATATTGTTTTGATTATTAACTATCACTATTTCACTTTGAGAAATTGGTCTCAGGTTTTCAAGCTATTCTGCATTGATCGACATATGTGCCGATGCCTCTGAATCAACGTACCAATTGCGTTTATCTGTTTCGTCGATATTATTATTGAATGAGGAAAATAATGACTTTTTTACTTTGACGAGAAACAAGCTTCATTTTTTCAGTTGGCTGAAACGAACTGCATAATTATAGCAATCCTGAAAATCCTTTTGCTTTAGTTTAGAGATGTCCAAAGTGACCCTACTTAATGAGTTAACTCATTGACTCTGACTCTCACTAAAGCGTTGACTCAGTGAGCTGACTCAAAAAGAGAAACCAAAATAAGCAATCGAGTACCGAGTTTAATCTTTCGACTGTCGAGTGGAATTGACTGGTTCAGCCCTCTATATGCCCAGATATGATCAAGAAGTAAAATTGTGAAGCAAGCTGCCAGCGAGTAGGGTATATTTCGAAAGAGTCAAGAATCGTGCAAATACAATCGAATCAGCTAGCTCAGTAACACACTTGGCTGCGTCAACTCTTCGAGTTAACACACTCCCGTTGAACATTTACAATTGATGGCTAAATGTGGTATTTCTACCCTGTTGTGAAAACAGTGCAACAAACGATTAATCACTGACTCAGAAGACGACATTTGAACATTAAAATGATGCTGACGGCGGTATGACCACTGTATCTAAATAATTGAACGCTGATTTTTAAGGTATAATGCAGTTATTTTGGTAGACTGTTCTATCGTGTAGGATTTCAAAACTAATTTTTCAGGTCTTCTATATAAATATTTGATTTTTTGAAAGAAAGAGTAAAAAAAATAACACAATATTATCATTCAATAGCCACAGAATTATGTTAACTACTTTATGATCAGATTTAGGTCCATAGAGCGTTGAACAAGTAACCTGTACTCTTGCCTACTGTGATTTAACATTGTTTAGTTATTTTGTTGTTTTGTTTTCCATTTTATGTAATCATATGTGTTTAAAGTAGTACTTTTGTGTAATATTATGCAGAAAGGTGATTGTAATGCCGTAAATGGAGTGTAATAGCAAGAAGTGGGTTGAAGATCAAGAAAAAACAAAGACTATAACAAAAGGGCAGAGACAAAAAACTAGACGCTATGCAGTTTATTTTTAATAAACATTTAAAAAGTTATTCAACCAAAAGTGAATACGTTTTTCAACCAAAACACAATATGTCCAAGGTATTAAAGCAAGGCTGAATGTGCCGAAAAAAAAAAATTGTTTTATAATTTATATTGACGTCCTGAACGAGTCTATCACATTGGTATTCCACCATTCAACCATGACAGATATATATATAACAACTAATCCCTCCGATATCAGATGCCGCAGCTGAGACTCGAACTCATGAGAGATAAACAGTGACTAGCCGTGTTCTGTCACACAACAACGCTCTAGCCACCTATGCTACCATTTCGGTATTTTAAAATACCACAATTCATCTTAGTTCTAGCCAGGATTCGAACCCGGGACCACTTGGTCTCAAACCTAGCGTATAAGCACTGGGCCACTCCATTTTGATTTTGAAGTAAGTTCAAGATGAATTTTTAGTTACACGGCACATTGAACTAGTGGAGAGGGACCATACTACTAAAATTTTGTTAAAAAGTAACTTGCTGTTTAATATAAGAAAAAGATATTTATTGGAAACAAAAAAAACCTTTGCGTGAAAGCACCTCCATTAACACACTGTGTTAGTTTGATATTTCTATTTGAATTAAATATTCTCGGTTCCTATAATCTCAAAATTTAATAGGGATAATGATGCCATAATATAAGTTTTAAATATTGTAAATATGTGAGTCAGATTTTATGTAAGTGGTATGTTTTTAGAAATGAATAAAAAAATCACTATCAATTACTTGGGGATCAGAACTTCCTCACCGTAGTAAAACTCAACGATTGGTGGAGTTTATAAGGTAATTTTTGACATTTCAAAAAGTCACATTTTTTGACATTTCAATAAAGTCACATTTTGATGTTTCAAAAAAGTCGTTTTGACGTTTCAAAAAAGTCATTTTGACGTTTTAAAAAAGTCATTTTAACGTTTCAAAAAAGTCACATTTTTTGATATTTCAAAAATTGGGACCGATTATGATCATCAACGAACTGAATCTCTTCCTTGACCTCTAGAATGTGTTTACCAAATTTGAAAACTTTATCTCAAAAACTGTAGCTGCTATTGCGAACCAGACAGACAGACACACAAACAGAACATTTTTTTCTGTCTGAAATTTTGTGTATCGTCATTATTCGTCGAGATTCATCCAGAAATGCAATAAAAATTTTAAAATTTTTTTTCACGAATACATAACCCTCACTTTGAGGGGTGAGGAAGTAATTAGGACACAGCATAGAACTGAACGTCTGAAATTTACATATGGTTGATTGGTAAAGTTAACTTTAAAAAGAAAAAAGTACACTGTTGTCCATGTTAATTTTTCTAGAGGACAATTAGCATGTGACAAATTCTTAATTAAGTCAAGATATTATTCCTTTCTAATATATTTATACTCATAATTTATTTATATCCATTATGCAATAGCTTTAAAAAAACGAGCATTGGTTTATAATAGAAGCAATAAGTTAATTACAAAAAAAATATTTAATTAAAAAGTTTCAGAAATCAGAGATTTATGTCAAGAAGAAAATAGATTAAGAGTTTTCTCATTTCTCTGTGTCATGGTTGCTTCGTATCAATACATCACAGGCTTTCGAATTGATACAAAACAATCCAACTTATTAAGTAATTTATTAGACATACCGTCAACAAAAAGAAGTTACATCTACAAGATGAACAAATTAAATACTAAAAATATATTTTATACAGTCCTTGTAAAATTAATGGTCCATCTTGTCTTCACATGTTCTGAACCTTTAAAATATTACGTACAAATAAATAAAAAACGTATTCTCCAGACCAAAATAAAGCGATTGAAACCATTTTGTATCTACTCAAAAATGCTTTGTTACGAGAATCAAATTTCTTAAGAAAATCCTTATTTTTTTAAATAGCAAATGAATGCTCTCAGCTATTGCGATCGACGTTTTTGATATAATCCTTTTGTCATCAGCACTACATAAGCATAAAACGTTGATTATCTAGTTTAAAAAATAAAATAATGGAGTTTACATTTTTCAGCAAGTTAGATAATCTTCACAGAAAACATGACGATTTTCATATTGCCAGAATTTTACATTTGACATGTTAACATTATCATTGGGAAAAAATGTGCATCGTTGCTAAAACAAATAATCCGTATTTTGTTTTAAAAACTTAACATGTGGACAAGAATATTAGAAAATCACATTTTTAGACCCTTATTCTTGAAGAAAATCTAAAATGCCAATTATACCTTGAGATATTGGAAAACATAGTAGATCCATTGATAGTTTGAACAGCGCAAATAACGAGGAGGAATTTGATATGGATATTACATTACAACACGACGGGCATCTCCTCACTACACACTACAGACGTAGAGTGAAAGAGTTAACAAGAGACACAATCTACCCAAGCAACTCAATTAGTAGTCTCTACGTACGTCCACCATCAGTAGAACTTTAAAAGTTTCGACAATTAACTACTCTTACGTAATCGGAACGATACATCTACCAAGCATTCACCAAAATGGAGAATAGTTATTACGCAAAAATTAATATCCCGGAACCTTCCCTATTACATGTTGACAACTAGGTTATTACGTAAACAGAACGTAACCAAGTAGTAGAAATTACTATCATTTGGAACAGCTCTTTAGTGGTATGAGAACAACCTATATTTTTCTCTGTCTCTCGTTCAAATAGCAAAATATAATGTATTGCAATCGAACTTACTGATTATGAGTTCGGGGTCAGTATATCCAAGTTAAACTGATTGAATGAAATATGTGTAGACAATAAACCATAATGTTTTGAATTCAATCTGAGTGTGAAAATTAAAACGGCTATTTGTTTTCTGTAAAATTTTACCCTGATACTTCGGTAAAAATGACGAGCTCCCTAGAAAATTATTTTTCGAAAAAAAAAAGTGTGTACAATAGAAAACGCAAAATTTAATAAAAAAACTATTTTCAGAAGTATATTTTTATCCGTGGCAATATAGTGTCATTCAATAACAGAAAAATGGCAAATTTAGTTCGAGTAATTTTATGGTCAGCAAAGTATTTGTCAGTTAATAGGGATGACAAAAACTAAAATTATTTCCCTTCAAAGTTACATTTACCTTAAAATATCAGATGCGACTAACGTTACAGTTGTTGCTACTTGAAAAATGGTGACGGAAAATGCAATAATTTCACTATGTAGTTGTGTTTACCAAAAAGTAGCAAATGCGATGAATGACGCCATTTTCTTTTAGCTTTAAACTAAAGTCTACTATGCTGTTACGAAAACGTACTGCAAAGTTCCCGCGTACTTTACGACCTTCAATTTTAAGTTGGCTGGCTGATCCAATTTATATATTATGCATAGTTCTCTAGCATAGGCGTGCGTGCGGTGCATAATATAAATACACAAAATGAATTTATATAATACTGCGTGCCTATGACAGAATTTTTTTATGTGCTTATATGAAATGAATGGAGTATAGGTAAAGATGATTTTTTTGTGTTTGTAATTGGTAACATGTTAATGACCGTTTAAACGTCAACGGGCGGAAGTGTTATTATTAGCGAAAACCAAACAAATGATTAATTTGGGGATTTACCTTGAATACCAACAAAATTTACTGTGCAGAAAATCTCGATTAGACGAATTTGACACTTTTATTCATATTTTCTGTCATCGCATCACTTTCACATATCCATAAATTTTTGTAACTTCCCTAAGTTATTCATTTGTCTGAATTGTTCAGTGGGCGAAATTTTAATTAATAACAATTAACGGCAAGTCATAAATAATCATAATATTTCTCATTCTTTATTTCAACATTTGTTGATTCTTTACTGCAATGTCCGATTTTCCCGAAAATTTTCTACTAGTTATTTGTCTATTCAACGAATAAGGGTCGGTTCCGCATCAACCAAATTATTTGATAAATTGTTAACTACACCTAACTGTAACATAACTTTTCTATAAAACATAACTATTTAATGGTTTATTTCTACATTAAATCAAAGTTCTACTTAAGAGAATCACAGATTCTCAATGATCTAAGACCAAGAATAAGAGGCGAATGCACTTGTATATATATATACAGACTTTCGAATGTTTGAGAAGAGTTTATTAATAGATTCTTTTATGGCCAAGATTAGCCGTGTGCACATGTTGAATATTTTATAAATATTAAATTATCACTATATATTTCATAACGTAAATGTTATAAATGAAATTGAAGGGGTGAATAGATAAATGTGTTAATCAATAAATTATTAATTTGTCAGAACAACGTTTTTACCAACCTTTGTTCACCAGAGACATGGAGTTATATTGTTTCTTAGCTTCTGTATCTATTCGGTATCTAAGCATTTAGCCATAGAAACATTACGAAACATTGGTGACAAGCTGTAACATCACAATACATTTATCAAATAAGATATTCCAATTTTTGAAACAATATCAAACAGCTTTACCTTCCATCCCTTCAATTATCATAATGTCGCCATGAATATGAATTGATCATATTTATAAAGTATTTTAAAATTTTGTGATCATCTTCAACTTAAGAAAAGCTTTCGGATAAAGGATCATTTGACGCCAGATGCTATTAAAATCATTGAACAAGACTACCAAGATTCTTTACCACGTGAAGAAATCCTCGGAAAATCCAAAATTGCGAGGAGTGGGCGATATAAAGCCCGACTCCAAAGGCCAGTAGTGATCACTGCCATAGAGGAGAATCAAGGAGGTACAGTATAGGCGATGTACCTATATCAGAGAAGAAACACTCCAAAGGTAGCAAGAGAGAGGGGAGAACCAAGATAGAAATACAAACTAGTCAAGGCGCCTCATCTCAGACACTGGATGCTAGTATAAGAGGAACTATGGAGAAATATCTTATTACATTACACAGATAATGACTAGACATGAGTGTTTCGGTTACTACCTGAATGGGTTCAAGATAAAAGAAAACTCCACTTGCTGGTACTGCGACCAAGAGATACAGTGGAGTACACCTTATGCCACTGCGTTAGGTGGCAGACAGAGAGAACAGCCATAGAAGAATACATTGGACAAGTCACAACACTGGACAATTTGGTCATAAAAATGCTTAAGGATAATAGAATATGGGAGACAATATCCAAAAAACTAACAAATATCATGAAAACGAAAGAAGAGGAGGAGCGAAAAAGAGAACAAGAACAACAGAAGTGAGAACAAGTATAAGACCAGGTACGGGTTTTAAAGTAATGTCATGTGACGGTTCCAGGACATCATTGGAGAAAGTGGGAGAGGTATTAGTGGGTAGAAATCCCACACTGCCGAGGGCACCGGGCCCGAGATGTCTCACGAGGATTTCCCCTCCTCCACAAAAAAAAAAAGTATAAGCGACATCTAAAATTCATTGAAGTCC